GATTCTGCATTGATCTAGAATTCAACTACTTTTTCCTAAATTGTCTATGAATAAGCAGTCATGAAAATCTTCTCATAGCACATGCAGCAGCTCTTGTCTGTTCCCCCCAAAAGCATTCTGCTGGAGAGGCAGCTCTATCTTAATCCACATATGGTAACACCTCGTTTTGGAGTGATAATTGCCCCAGCCAGTCCTACATGCATTTTCTCTTTCTTATCATGGACACAGATGAACTGCAGCAGCCAAAAYTGCAAAACATAACAAAGTATTTTTTTCACTGTAATACACCACAGGAAGAATAACAAATCTCCAGGCTGTGTTCAAGACTGAACAGGGTAAGTACTTTCCCTTTTTTTGAGGCTCATACATCTTTACAATAAAGTAACTCTTTTGTCATGCCTGGGAAGCAAACCTGCACTCCAGACCGCCGAGCAGCAGAGCCAGGCCTTAGGATAACACCCTGCACTCTGTGGAGAACTCATCCTCACTCTACTGCCCTCCAGCTCATGGAAAACAATGTCACTGTGGCATTCCTACATACTTCGAGGAGATAGATACCTTTCCCAATATATTTTAAAGGCATTCAAAAGCTTCATACATCGTTCACTATGGCCACTCTCGGAAGAAAAATGCCGAGGTGAATTTATGCAGTTCATTAAAATCTTGTTATTCATCTTGCAGTTGTACTAGCAAATGATTTTCTCATAAAAAGCAGTGAGAAGAGGCCTCTAACACAGATTCAGGCACAGGAAAATTATAAGACCTAAGGAAACATTTCCTGGTATACCAGCTCAAGTATGCCATGACAACTGTATTTCAAAGTTTTCAATGGTTTATTACAAATTGGAATACCCACTGCTAGAGGAACCACAAGCAGCCTGAAAAATCCACTTCCCTGTGAGCAATTCCTGTGAGGAAATCCACTTCCCTCTTTCTTCTGTGTGCTGCGTTTCAGTTGCAGGTCTGTCCCAGAGCAAGTCCAGGYTCAGAAAGCCCAGGCAATAAGGAACTGCAAACTGAAAGTCCCCAGCAGCCCACAAAACATGCCATAGTTCATTTAGACCTCTGGTTCTGGAGAAAACAGAGGGGCATTTCTAGGCAGGGCWAGTAGCAATGCACAAGCTAAACCAAGAGGGCTTCACGGAATGTTTTAGCTTTCAATAGACAAGTGAACTCCAACAAGATATTGTTTCAGCCCTTCTTGACCTCCATCAGCTGACTGGAACCCAGCATCACCAATACTGGMATTTGCCTGTATCAACAGGACCCATGAAACAAACTGGTTWTGAAAAGTGTCTTTACATCTGGCCTGGAAAGCTGTGAAATGACATGGAACGAACTAAAGGTGCATCATCCAWCATAGCTTCTCCTCAGGGAAAAGCCCCAGCATTACTCCCTTCACAATTTACTGTGTTTTAAATATAGATAAGGCCACATTTTATTTCTGCACAGCATCACCTTTTTCTACCAAAATGAGCAGTACAGCCTCGTTTTCTGGTTTTAACTTCCACTCCCTTGGCTTCAGGGGGTAGAAGCAGAGAAACAGAGGATTTCCCAGGCTGCTGTCCATCATTACCATTCGCTGCAGGGTTGACTCAGGAAAAAGAGCAAGGTGAGCCCAGCAGGGATGGCAGCACAACACTCAGGTTTTAGSYTGCTCTGACYGTGCTACTGTATTCACCTATGCAMAAAKRTTAGGAAATTGCATTCGTTCTGCACACCAGCAGTGATGCTAGCTATGACTACACTGAAAGGCAAATTATGTATATGACAACTGGAGATTCTTAGCATCCAAAACAACAAAGTATTTTGTTTATCCTCCTACTGTAAATAAGTGTAACTGACAGGTCTACAGATAATTTAAAATTACCTCAAGCAACCTGAGAAAAGCAGTTTGCATCTTAAAAAAAAAGAAGGCAGATATTCATCTAAAGATCCTCAACTCGGAATTGCTGCAGTAGAGCAGATATTTTAATGAAGAAAGCAGAAAAGAGATGGGCTCTGCCAGTTTCGCCCACACCCCTCCCAAGGGTCCTGCCGTATCCCAGAGCAGCTGAACGGCACATGATGAACATCACGCCACACTCCACAAGAAAGTAAACTTGTCCTCATTCAGATCAATTCTGCTTCTGCTCACACGTTCCTGAATATACCATAAAAACCTGACACAAGGCCTGTTGCCTGGGGACACCACAGGCATCAGATCATCCGCGCATTCCAGAAGCGATCGCATAGAAAGCTACAGCTGCGAACCTACGGCTCATCGAGCAACTTAAAAAACCCACAACGCCACATTATACACAAAACAACGCTAACTGGAGGATAGTTTCTCCACTTATTAGCTCCATATGTAAGCTATTTACAGCAGCTGATGGTAGAAGCTGATCGTTCTCAAACATCTGAAACCAAACCATGCCCAACCAACTCTGTAACCATTTCTTAAGATCACTATTTTAAAGAAAAATATGGCACCCATTAGTACATCAGTTCCTCACTTATCACCACTAAGTGTTTTTTAATGATACAGAGCAGCAACAGGCATGTTTTATCACCTTGTTTTCCATACCCTTCCACCCTTCAAAACAGTGAAACYCCAAGCTAGGTGAGCTGCCGAGGATCACAGCACTGAAGCTGAAGAARGGATGCTGGACTGTCTTGTTTCCCAACAAGCATCCTCTGCTGTGTCACATCACTTTCACTAGCTGACACAAACAGCATGTGAGAAATAGAAACCGYGAGCAGATGGAGGAGTGCCTGAAGGCCTTGTAGAGAGTGATACACAAAACACTATCGTGCTTGGTATCACAGCACCTCATTAGTAATTTACTGAGTTTGCAAAAATTGCCTGTGTTTTTTTGCAAAGCAGAAATGAGCAAAGAAAGCTCACCCATATCTTTTGTCAGCTACCTTGCAGAGTAAACTCTCTGACATGTTTCGGCAAATGAATTCTGGAGACATGTGGCTTGTCAGTCCCTTGCAGCCGAGTTCTTATCATTTAATGTGAATATTAATTAATCGCTTACTGTTGAATAAAAGCTTCTACACACACACAAACTACTTTTTTTTTTTTTTTTTTTGGAATGAGATGGATGCCCCTGCAGACCTATGCCACTGAAACAGAAATACCACAAGCATGGGGTTTCCTGGTAAATGCAATCTCTCTCCTACAGACCCATTTCTGCTGCTCATATGCACTCCCACTCTCTTTTAAGTGTCTTAAAACAAGTGATAATCAGAGATTTTAACACCGATCTTCAGGCATACAGAGTAACTTCCTTACTCACTGTTCTGAAATGCTCTGCTGCCGTTTTACAGCTTGAGAACCTAACAGCATGCTGACAAAAGCAAAAGCCAATGCACAGAATAGAGAAGAAGGGAGGGTACAGAATGGCAGGTGCACRTCTTGTCCCCATTTTTGTCTCAAATGGCAGCTGTGGGGCACAGTCCTTTCACCTGCCCTGTGTGTGAATTCAGCCCCAGCCCYTGGACCATTTGCCTCCCTTCAGTCTGAGCCACTCAAGGTGTCAACACTTGATTCTCTGCATCATTCACCTTACGGGTCAGGGATGTGGCTCACAGGCCCCAGTACCAGCTCTGCCCTTTCCTGGCCAGCTGGCTGAAGCTGGGGGCTACTGCTGGGACCCGGCTCCCACATGCCCTCCTGGCACCCAGGAGAATGGTYGTGCGACCTCTGAGAGATCAGGCATGTCCCTGGACTTGGAGCCAAGCCAAGCTCCAGGGCCAGCCAGCATCATTAGGATTTATGCTGCATCCASCATGCGGTCCTATTACACCAACGCTGATAATGCAGGCCAATAAATCATGCCAAGGGGTCATACAAAGGAAAAAAAAGATGTTTAAAACTCAATCTTTCCCTTTTTAAAGTGCTCTGTCAAATGGTCCCAGTCTCCCCACATTCAGAAGAGTAGGCAGTGGAAGYTGGAGCTCAGCTGTTAACCAAGCAATCAATCTTCCCCTCCTTCTTCCCCAAATCTCAGGGCTCTGTCCTTCTCCTGTTTGTAATTTAAAGCCAGCCCTTGGCTTCAAAACCGGAGAAAAGCACCACTGTCAAAATATACAGTGCCAAACTTATGTGTAGGATATGCCACCATTTAAATTTTTCTTTTCTCCTGCCTGCAGGGAAGGGTAGCAGGGTGACTGCTTGGTGTGGGACTAAAGAGCAAARAGGAATTTCTCTCTTTGGCATTTCTGAAATGCCCATTAAAGCATTGTAAACGCTAAAAGGCATTTAACAGGTACCTTAAATAGCACTGCTCCATCAAGTACTACTACTTAAGAAAAGCTGCCTCCCCCATGCTGAGTGTGAAATTTACTTTAGACAGGACACTCCCCCACTCCCCCGAGAGCAGGCAAAAAATGCTGCTTCTTTAAAACCACAGCTGAAAAGTATGTAACCAAGATCGGTGTTTTCGCTTGAATTTCGCTCTCTGACAGCAACTAAGTAACTATTTTCCGTACTCTTCTTCATTGTAACCATTTTCTATCCTCCCGCTATCCAGAGGAGAGACCCTGCCTCCACTGCGTACAGCCCGCTCCGCAATCCGGCCGAACCGAAACCATTCCCCCCCTTTTAAAACCCTACTGTAAGCAATGAYAGAAACCTGCTCACAGGCGAAAAGAAACAAACAAATGCGAGACAAGTCTAGAGGGAGAAGAAAATCAGTTTCAAAGAGCTTTTAAACAGACAGGTCCACAGGGGAAAAGGAAATCGGTTTCAAGGAGCTTTTAACTTGTTGGGAGACATTTGACGGGGAGCAATTAAGACTTTTTCCTGCTGGAAGAAAGTTTACGCTGGTAAGAGGGAGCAAGCACTTCGGTGAACAAAACACACGGACAAAACCTACCCGGGGCACGGGGTAAAACCCTAGAGCCGAGTGAGCCTGAGCAGGAGCCAGGGCATCACTAACAGCGCCGGGCTGCGAGCAGCCCTCATCAGGGCGAGATGCACCGKGCGCGACCGAAGTTATTTAATGCCATACCTCGACTGGGCAGCCATCGCGGGGTTATCCTGCCAAGCGCCCTCTATCCATGAGCTCCGTCCGCAGCTGTGCAGGCTCTACCCCGCTGCCAAAGCCTGCCGTCCCATGTGCCGGCCGCCTCCCCGCCGGTGCCCGGTGCCGCCGCGCCGCGGCTCCCCCCGCCCGGGCGGCCGGCGCAGGGCTGGGGCTCGCTCATTTTGATCGACATCCGGGCGCCCGGCCCTCCCCCGGCCGCCGGCAGGGAGGGGGGCCCGCCCGGCCCCGCGGGACCTCCCCGGCCCGGCCGGCAGCCTCCAGGGCAGAGCGCCGCCGGGCTCCGGGGCCGCGGCCTCGCTCGGCGTCCCCTGGGTGCCCGGGGCGGCGGGACCTGCGGCAGCGCGGCCCCCGCGCCCGCCCCGCGCCCGCCTCCCCCTGCCCGGCCGAGCACTCGTGGTACGGCCCGGTCTGCCCGGGCGGCGGCGGGAGGGCCGTGCCCTGCCCCGGACCTCTCCGGAGGCGCTGCCTGCCGGGAGCGGGGCGAAAGGCCACGGCCGAGCCAGCGGGTCGGGATGGGGCTGCTCTGCCAGCCGGCCCCTGCCCTCCGCCACGGCCCCGCAGGGGCTCCTGCGGCGTTTGCTYGAGTTATTTGCTGGTTTGGTTTCCTTTTTCATTGSYTTACTATTATTRTTATTATTTGTTTAGGAGGCTTTTGGKTTTTTTGAAGAACAAAAGCAAACGGCTCAAATTTTTTAAAATTTCAGAASTTTCAAAATCTTCGAAGCGAAACCAGAACCGAGTGCAAACACGAATCCCAGGTGTCTGCACAGACGCAGCAAAAGAAATCTTCAGCCTGCTGTGAAACCCAGGCTTGGAATCACAGGCTAAGAAACCTTTGGGAAAAGGTTTGTTGTGYATATATGAAGCTGGTTATGCAATTTCTGCTGGGCTCTGGTCCTGACCGTGGTTTGTCGACACATTCAGAAAGCAGCAATACCTGTCCTTTGCTCTTAGTGTTTCCTGGCACAATTATGAAAACTAACTACTCCTGCAACTGCTTTCAACCAAGTATTAACCAAGCATTCAGCAGACAAAAAAAATATTTATCCGAGATCCCTTCAACGTTTCTCCGCATTTGTGTATGGATAAGGTTTCTCCCAACGCTATGACAACATTATGTTCCTCCTAATTTTCTGTTTTAAAGCACAACTTGTGTCCAAGTACTTGGCAGATACCAGGAAAAGGGTTTATGTTTGATTGTTTTCTTACTCCAGATAGCCCAGACTTGAGATTCCCATAGTGGTTATCTCCAGGAAGATTAAATAAAATTCATATCAGCTCTTTCAGGCAGAACAAAAGATAATGGGAAAAAAATACCCTCTAGACTTTCCACAACAGCTGAGCTTTCTCCAGGAAAAAAAAAATTGTTTGCTTTCACTCAAAGTTTTTATCTTTCAAAGTTTTTTCAACTTTCACTCAGTTTTCCAACTGCCCCCCTTCAAAAGCACTTGTGTAAGTGCATCTGACAAATCAGTGTTTCTTCAAATAAAGCTTTCTGTCGGAGGATGTCCTATTGCCTCTTGACTCCTCCCTCGTGTTTGTTTCCAAAATCAGACTGCAGCTTTTCTCACCTGTTTCTATTCACTGATCAGGGATGCAAGTTTTTCCTTTTTCAGTCACTGTCTTTGTAAGATGTATTGGAAATGAAGGAAAACATCTCTCCTAAGTAAAATGCAAACAAAACAAACCAATAAAAATAAACTCTTTGTACTCTACAGTACATAGCTGAAGAAGCATAAGCTCAGAATGCACTACTGCACTCTCTGCCTTAAAAATCCACCAGGAAAAGCTTCCTACAAGAGATCACCATTCCAAACTGTATTTAAGCTGTATACAATATTTAAAGTCCATTCATATCTACTTCTGCATTGGATGAGAATGAAGTTCTGCAGAGATCTAAACACTTGTGATATAAACACTTCACAGAAATGCAAATCCAACAAAGGTGTGCAGGCAGCCTGGATGACATTGCTTCTTAATTCTGAACTCCTGAAAAGGCCAGACATTATACTAATAAAGGCACGATAATTCATGAAGTTTGTGGGACAAATGCTAGAAGCTTATGGCATGTTGAAACAATTAATCAAGCACAGGGTACCAATGACAGAGGAACACAACAAACAATAGKAAAATCGTTAGACTAAAGACATGGTCAGTAAGCCTTCCTGAAATATATTTGCCATAAAGTAAAACAGGTATTTGTTTATACACAGAAATCAGTCAAATTTATGCCCTTACCATGTTGTTCAAAACATCTCATTGCACTGCACTGCATCAGGTTTTTAAGCAGACACACCCCGTTACCTTCACTCTTCAAGAGTCACTGCTGTCCTTTAATTAAAATGTGCTCTCCCAGCTCTGTTGACAAGAAATCCATCTTGCCACTGCCATTTATTGCCACTGATGAGCCGTTCACATTTGGAGGTGAAAAGGGTCCAATGGATATTGTGTTTCCCGGCCTGGGGCAGCCGTGGGTGGCCTTTTCATTTGCAAAGGGCACTTCTGCACCAGGTCAGAAGGCAAGGACCSTGCTCCATAAAAACTCTGCTGCCCCAGCCCAGTAGGGCAATCCCTGACCTCTGAGCCCCACCAAGCCCTCTGGCTGTCAGCACCCTTCTGCCTTCCACCTCCCTGCTACCACTACAGAGAGCCAGAGGCTGCACACCTGCACTGTTTCCTGTCTTCCAGCAATCCCAAACCCTACACAAACCTGCAAAGGGCTCGATTCTCTGGTGTCTTTCCCCACCACTAGGCAAGGAACTGGCCACACTACAAATACATGTGCTGTTGCTGTAAAGCAAGGGCTATAATCAGAGTGCACAGGATTTCAAGGGTTCCACATATTTGGAGGAGCTGGTTAATCTTATTGTCAAACTCCTGCCTCCAAAGCAGAGTTGGAAAACACACAAAATTCAGAAATACATCCAGGCAAGCACACACAAAAACCAGTTCAACAAGGCAAGTGAAGCTGTGAGCAATGATGGGTCTGAAGAAGGCTGAGGCAGCAAAAATCTCTGTTAACCCTGATTCAGCAAAGCACTACCCTGTAGACTTGTTTTATTGCACCTCCTTAACCTTAGCACTTTCCAGCTGACTGTCAGAAGCACATCCTCGCTGGGCAAATCCTGGAAAGCACTTGGATTTCACAGGGTCTAACCCACACAGCGTAGCTATAGTGAGGTTAAAGGAGCTGCAGGGCAAAGGAAAGAAACAGCTGCSTACAACACTGAAAAAAGGGGTAGAGAAGAACACAACCAAAAGGATATGTTGACTCCAACAAAGAACACTAACTTGCGTACAGTCTGTTATGCAAGTAATCGCTCTACAGATGTTAGGAATCAAACTTTTCTGGGAAAAGAGAGGAAAACAACCCTTCATCTTTCAATACCTAAATTGAAGAGAACAGATTTTAAAAAGAAACCGCCTTCTCGCAGACACCAGACTGAACTAGAGGCTGCACCCTACTAGGTTTTGGCAGCCAACAGGRGCAGTTTCCATCATCTTACTTGGCATTACTCACTTATCAATCAGAGTGCCTTAAAATGTTCCAAAA